TCCGGAGCTGGCAGGTCACTTGTCAACCAGGGGCATTGGAGGTGACACCAAGAATTCTTCAAGGCAGTACAAGCGTTTGGTCCAAAGAGGTGGGTTTGCTATGAGCCTCAGACTTCGTTTAATCTATATAGGATATGTATTTATATATATATATGTTCTAATATGTATTTGTGTTTCCCAAATGAACTTGTTTGCTGATGCTGAGGTTTCCCGAATCAAACAACGGTTTTACCTGTGTTTTTTTGGGGTGATGCCAGGAAAGTCCCGAACTCCTACCACACCTTTGAGGAGAATGGGGCTGTTGTCAGCGTGCCTTACTTGAAACCTGACCAAATGCTGGCCTATCTACTGTCCACTCACCCCTGGACTGTACTGGGTGGGTTGCAGCCTGGCGAGCACAACCAGCTTTTGTCAAGTTTCTGGAGGCAGTACAGAAAGGAACATGGTTCCCACGCTGTTTTCGCAATGGCTGAGAGGAAAGAATTGGATTTAGAGTTTACTGTGCCATTACTTCTACACGGAGATGGTGGGCGCACCGCCAAAAAGCAGCCGTTAGAAGTTGTTAGCCTATGTCCAGTCTTAGGCCTTGACACTGAACAGAAGGAATTGAAATGTACATGTGCAAATGGGAATGTATATTCTGGAAAGCGCAAGAGAATCCCACTGGCGCAAAGACTAAATCTGAAGAATTCTTCCTACACTACGCATTTTTTGGCTTTTGCACTGCCAGCCAAGAAATACAAGAAGACTCCCGGGGTGCTGCGTTTATTGCTCCAAGCTGTTTCTGACAATCTTGGTCAAGTATGTGGAACTGGCTTGCCTTGCACACATCGGGGCAGAGTATTTCGATTTCATTTTGCAGTCTTGGGTATGAAAGGGGATCAAGAATGGCACGCCAAATCAGGGCTACTGAACCGTAGCTACCAAAACGTTGGATACAAGAATTGTATCCCATGCTGTAGCCTTTGCGGAGCAGGAGGCGATGGCCTGCCCTTTGAAGATTTTTCCCTTCAGGCTGCTTGGAGGGCAACTATTTGTCAAGCTCCTCCGTGGACTTCAAGTCCTCCCTTTGAGGCTATTCCATTTGAGGATTGGTCTTCAGGTTCAGCGAGCCAATTCTTCAAGCAAGACATTTTTCACGTCTTTAGACTTGGTATAGCCCGAAACTACATTGGTTCAGCTTTGGTATACCTATGTATGGAGGGTTACTTTGACTCTTCTGGAGATGGACGCGGCCTGGAAGAGAGATTGGCCAGGGCATGGTCTCATTTCTCCCTATGGTGTGACACAGAAAAGGTTTCCCCAGCTGGTATCCGTAGCTTCTCCAAACAGAAGTTGCACATTCCTACAGCGGGATCTTTTCCCTGGGTGGGATGCAAAGGCTCCGATACAATTCTTCTGTTGAAGTGGTTGCGTTTTTACTGCAAGATCCAGCTATGTTCGGACCCTTCTTCTTCTTCTTCGATGCTCGGGGTCATAGCTGGGGGTTGTGAGAATGGCCTGGCTTTTCAGGGTGTCTACAGGCATGGGATCTGGTTGAAGAACTCTTGCAGAGAGAAACTCATGAGGAACGCGCAAAGATTCATCACAGCGTATGCGAAGCTTGCTTCTGAAGCGTATCAAAGGGGGTCCCAACTGTATGCAATGGTTCCCAAAATCCATTCCCTTGACCATATCAAGGTGTCCCTGGAGCCGGATCCAAACAAGGATTTCTTTTTGAACCCAGCAACATTTTGTTGCTCGATGAGCGAAGATTTCATTGGAAGAGTTTCTCGTCAAAGCCGTAGGATCTCATATATCAAAATTGAAGAGAACACTCTACTGGCGTACAAGATCAAAGCCAGATTCCAGCTGCAGCGTTTGAAGAAAAACAGGCGTCTGTAGTAGCTTCAATTTCTAGGTGCAGTCCCATGGAAACGCAATGGCTCATCTCCTTAAGTGGAATGGGCAGCAAGGCCCCTAAAGTATCCTGAAGTTGTGTTTTTACCTACGAATGGGATACCCTAGTTGCTGCACCTAGCACTGTCCACGCCATCCCAACCGCGGCCCTGGCAGAAAAAAAGCCAAGGAACCATTTTCCACTCCAGGAAGCCATTCCATTGCAGAGCTTGTGGGGTAAGGGATGAAAGAGTGTGAAAGAAAAACAAACATTCCCCAGTGGTATTAATATTTCCCATGTTCTTTTACAATGGGTAGATCCACTTATATCCCCTTAAAAATTATCTTGATAATGACCATTTGTTTTGGTGATCATCCATCTTCATGTGCCGACTACGACGAGCACCTGCAGGCAAGGTCATGCGGCTGCAGTGAGGAAAGGGGTTAGATCAACCAATATCATATGTAATTCCTATGAATCCTGAAGGTATGAACAATATAGTCATTCTTTTCATGCATATTAATATTGTCATCATATTGGCAAAACCATCAGAATCACAAACCCTCCAAAAATGCTAGGGTCTAAAATTTTCATTAGGGTCTGAAACTGAATCTGGGGTCTAAAATTTCAGGCCCTAAGGCCAGGGTCTAAAATAATACCATGCCGGAAGTTTCAGGTATATACATACACGCAATATCATGCGATAATATGATTACAATATGATCATAATATAATTATAGTTCTATAAAATAAGAATCGTCATCGTCATCACAATCATACTTATAATAATAATGCCAAGATAGATCTACCGCATCTATCTTACGCTTGACCTCTGTGAGCTCGGCATCTTACGCTTGACTCGTGATCTCTAGGAGAAGTGTCGCGCGTGACTCCATTGGATGAGTTGCCACCACCTTTTCCCAAGGCCTTGATGTAGAGAGATTCCCCAGTTGCCATGAATCTTCCAGATTTGGTCGGGAAAATCTGCGGAAAACCATGGAAAATGTCCATGATTTCCTGCAGATGTTCCTTCAAACTCCAGTGAGAACTCCACATGTTTCTTTCTGTCGTTTGAATTGCATGGGTCTCTGGTGAAGCATAGTTCGCTGCAGGGTCTTGAGTCACTTGAGTCGTCGGAGAGCGGGGCAGACAGCGAAGACAGCACCCTGGCAATGTGACAATGTGATCTGGTTCACCTTTTGAAAGAAACATCGGAATGGAACCACACCACGCTGGTCATTTTGGGTATTCTTTTTGGCCATGCGAAAAGTCCCAATTTTTTCACCACCAAAAATACGACTTCAAGGAACCACACCTAGTAAATTTGAGCATGTAGTTATTGTGTTCATATGTACCTAGACCCTCCAAGTAACTAGAGAAATGTGGTTATAAGTTATAATTATGATTTGGGACTTTTACCCATTGTTATGGTACAGCGGGTCTACGCATATGAAACCAAACCAAGCTCGATTCAACAAAGCGCTGTAGGTTTCTTGGTTGCTGAAGCTCCAGCATCTGCTCCATGGCTGGAGATGGCAATGGGAAAACATGGGAAACTCATTGGAAGAAACCATCGGAAAACGAATGAGGACTCATGAAAAAGAGAGAGAGAGAGAGAAAGTCAGAGAGAGAGAGAGAGTCAGAGTCAGAGTCAGAGTCAGAGATCCCACCAGGTGGCAGAAATCTTAGGCAAACATACAGTTTACTTATAATCTGTTAAACTAACAGTTTGCTATGGAAAACCACCATAGAAATAGTGGATTTACCCAGCTATAAAATGGTGATTTTCCATAGCAAACTGTTAGTTTACCAGAGGCTAACCCTAATCAGATTGGTTTTCCTTGAGAATCCGAGGTGGATGAGACCTCTGCAGGCGATGACGAGTGCCATTCGGTTTTGGGATGATGCACTGGAGATGTGAGCAGATTTATGGATGGTTCCATAGTCATGGGGGTACCCCCAAATGGATGGTTTATAATGGAAAATACCATTAAAATGGATGATTTATGGGTACACCTATTTCGGGAAACCACCATTTAGGGATCCTGGATGGCTACTTTTGAAGATCTTGGAAGATATAGTTGTCAAAATAGTTATATCGTTAACTTTTGGTGATGCAACGAACGTGAGGGGCAAATACACGCGGGAGATGTGGGATCAAGTTATTTTCAAGAGTATGCGTATATATAATATATTATTGTATTCATTTTGCATATGCACATGCACTGTACATCTACGTGTATACCTAGCGCATCCCAAACCCACAAATGTGTGGGTTTTATTCCAAACGCCCGTTTTTTTCTCCTCCCAAGTGGGGAAAAAAACATTGTTTTTGAAAAATAATAGTGTCATGAACTCTTATGATCCTTCTCTTAGATCATTCAACCCCCTTTCAGTACCCTTCAGGTTGATTATACTTCCACCCCGCTGTCTTGGCTGGCAGTTCTCACCAGAAACCCCTGGAGGCAGAAATTTGAACCATGGCTGTAGTTTTTCTGTCGGGAAGAGAGTTATTTCTGGATTGCCACAATTGACGAAATTCGAGCAAGATTGTCAAAAGATCAAGCGCAAGTAATCTCATCGATGTGTTGTTTTTAAACAATGTTATTGATAGGATTTGTCAAACCAACAAAAGCCAAAAACTATTTGTTGAAAAAAACAAGTTCTACCAAAAAAACTGCATTTTTGACTGGACCTACTTTTTTGAAGGTGTTTATGTGCAGATGCTCATCGTTGAGTTTAAATAGTTTAGCAGTTTAGCAAACGAAGATTTGTTGATCTGCAAAATCCAAGCTGTACAGATCCCAGAGTGGTGACCCCAACGCCACAGGGTTCAGCTTTCCCTGATGCTTCGGAAGGGTCCCGCATGCTCTGAGGCTTTGTGCTAGAACCCATTGACCAGGCGAATGCGCAGGAGGAGTCCCCGGGCGGTCGATCATCCCGGCTGGTTAGCTCCGTACCTTGGTTGTTACGTTTTTGTTGTGGCTGACTCATGAGTCAGGCCATGGTTGTTTCCAAATGAATGGGGATATCCCCTTAAGTCATCCATTTTTCATAACAAAACCGTCCATTTGGTCATTTTCCCATGGTTTTAGGAAACCCACATGGTAGGGAGATGGTCATGCGAGATGGAGATGTCGATATTTTTTCATGACTCGGTCAGATCGATGCGTGCAGATACTATGTGGGATTATCGTGGAATTACCCTCTGGTAAACCAACAGTTTGCTATAGAAAATGGCCCATAGAAATAGTTGTTTTACCTATTAAAGATGGTGATTTTCCATAGCTTTGTTAGTTTACCATAGGTACATTCCCTTGGTTTCGTTTTTACCCTTTGTGGATCAATGAACCTTTTTTTTTCAGACAGGTTGAAAGATGGTGAAATTGAACTTTTCCATAAACATTGGGTTCCCCAAAAAAGGGATCTTGAAGATGGTATTCCAAGTACCCTTTGGTAATCAAACATGGCGTGCTGGAAAATCCACAAATGAGTTCGATGATTTCCGAAAAAAAAAACTCCATTCAGTTGATCTCCCAGCCACATTTAAATGACACTGACACTGGAGGATTACTAATTATCTTGATAACCAATTATTAACCCATGGTTAACCTAAGATATCCCTTTTTTATTCCATATGATTATAGCATATTATAGCCATTATGAACCATTAAAGATCAGGGTTGTATTTATTAGCCACTTCTTTCAGGGTTCACCCGGGATCCTGGTTGTTTCGGAGGATCCCGCAGAGCCCGTAGAGCCCGCAGAGCCCATTGATGTGGACCAGGCGGGGTCCACCTTCCACCTTGAAATGACCACCTGCAGCGCCCCGACAAAAATGGGCAACGGTTTCTGTACCCTCTGGTAAACATACAAAAAACTATGGAAAATGGCCCATTTATAGTTGATTTACCTATGAAATCCTATGAAACATGGTGATTTTCCATAGCTATGTAAGTTTCCCAGAGGGTATGTTTACCCATATGCTCCATGGTGCTGGTATACTTAACTATTTAACTACAGGTGATTTTGTTTGGGCAAATGTTGGTAAATATTCCAGCACCATGGAGCATATGGGTTATGTATGTTTATGTGTTCCTGGAATCATCGGTAAACTTGGTAATTTTGGTACGATTCACCAGAATTGGCCGAAAAAGGTTTGTGATGTGTTTTTTCAGCCAGAAAAAGGGGCCATCGGAGGTGGTGGTCTAGTTGTAATCCCTTCCCCCTGACATCAAATACCACCCCTTGGAAACCCGGCTTTAGAATTGGATCATTAATGCAACTTCCATACTTTGGGTCAACCCCACATCGATAAACCTCGATTGATTCATGAGTGGCCTGATCATGACTATGTGGGGGTCGCCCGCCCCAAAGACCAGTGATAACCTCAATTTGCTGTATGTTTTTGTTTCCCCCATGCATCCCCACGATAATGCTATATTATGTAATGCTATAACCCAAGCAGAGGCTGATGACATGATGACATATGATGACAATCTCCCCACATTATCCACTCCGGTTAATAAGTCCCCTAACTGAGGTTATCCCAATTTAGTGGGAAATAAGTCATATACGGTCACACACACAGAGATATACGTACCTATAATATTACACACATAAACAATGGCAATACTTCTACATGGCTTTGGTGGCTCATTTGCCACATCCCACGAATGTGCAACTGAGATACCCTCTGGTAAACTAACAGTTTGCTATAGAAAATGGCCATCAATAGTGAATTTTCCCATAAAAAATGGTGATTTTCAATAGCTATGTTAGTTTACCAGAGGTAAACCTCCATTTTCCTATGGTTTTCCTATGATTTTCCTATGGTTTTCCTATGTTTGTTTACGAGAGGGTGCCGGAAACCAGCCGCCGAGTTCACCAGGAGATGCCGGACGTCCAGCCCTCCGCCCCGCCCCTTGCAGCGGCCGCTCCGGAGCCTGGACCGGCGACTGAGGACGCTGAGGAGCTGTCGAGCGAGGAGAAGGTGGGCTATGGTAGACCCCCTGTTTTTTTTGGAGAGAATTTCTCTAAATTATGTATATATACCCATAGGATCCATGTATGGTATATATGCTAACATTGGGGGTATATTGATGGTAAATGTTACCATATATAGCATACATGGATCCTATGGGAGATATATATTATATATATAAATAAATTATATACAATATACGCAATGTACTTACACATGGGTCGAAATGGTGGGAATGGGGATGATGGGATGGCAACTTGCAGTTCCTGCAACGAACATAGACCCTATTTTGGGGATTGGAAGAATGACAATAATTACCTGTAATTACTTGATTTCCAGTATCATCTATAGCTCTTTTCTGGTAATCATGGGGATTCTTGGCTTAACATAGACCTGATTTCCACTCACATGTATATAGTGTTCAGGGTCTATGTGAATTTGGAGGGTATCATGGTTACCAGTCTGCAAAGTAGCCTAGTCAAGCCAAGAGCAATTCAATTGGGCAAAGTCGACTCGAGGTGACTGAGCCAGTGGCTGTTGGTGGTTAATGAACCCCATCCATAAAAGTTACCATCAAGGTGGGGGTGGTTCAATCCCCATATCATCCTACTCCAGTATCAGACGGCGCCACAGATCAACCTGATCCTGGCGGCCTTTGACAAGAACGGAGATGGACGCCTGAATTTCGAAGAAGCCTGGCATCATCCGTGTGGCAAACTTGGCAAATCATTCATAACATTCCAAGTGAGTATGGTTGATTTATGTCGATTTATGTGTATACCTAACCATTTTTTGTGGTATTAAGTATGCCTATGTGTGATCCACGGGCTCCGCTGCGTCTCCAATGTCTTGTCGGATCGTGGATAAAAGGATTTTACAGTATGTTTTCTTTTTCCAGCAGATGGCTGTAGATTGTTGTGGATCCCGGAGTAGATCCCTCGGACACAGGTGAGTTCTGTCATTTTCCAAGGAAACCATTGATCTGCTGATGTGGGCATATGCGGAGTTGATCCCCTTTGAAGTCTTCAAGGCGCAGATTGCACTGTACATATGGGAATATCATGTCAGTTGTTTTGTGTGTTCAGCGCACGTTCTTTTGCCGCAAGCAGATTTGTTCCAGGAAAAATATGGCTGTGAGCCAATTTGTTGGTTTTTCCAGGGCGAAACAGCCACAATCACATGATTCCAATTAACATGGAACCATGGAACCTGTCAAATATAGGAGATTGCTTTAAGATTAAGCTCTCTTAAGATTTCACCTTTTAAATCCATATTTTTTCGGGTCTATTAGCGACACTTGGGGGATAGTATCACAAAAAAAGGTTTCATTCCACCTATCACTGGAGAGTGACTGGGAGGACTCAAATGGTTGGGTGTTGATTCCTGGAGTTCTCAACCTGCCAAATCACTAACCAACCACCAGAAGTTATGGCACGTCACACAATTGTTGCCAGTTGCGATGATTGAGTCAGTGGGAGGAATCATCCCTTGCAGAATCCTCAAATACCTTCAAATATCCCAACATATACCAACATGTAAATTTATGTTCTTGACATACCACAAAATTTCACCAAAAAAAACACCAGATATTTTCTTCACGGATCAAAAACACGAATTTAAAATATATTCTATGTTTATGCTGTTGCGGGATGATCAACTGATTCAGCCAGATATAAGGTGGTGTCCCCTCCTTATGTCTTTGTTGGTTTACACTTGAACTAGCCCTTTCCCCCCAAAAAACCTATCATTAGTCGAATTTGACATCACGTTACCGGTCACTACGTGGCACCACTTCCCCAAAGCCAACATTGACAACATTGGTTGTTCGTAAAGCTTCGATCCGGGAAGTGAGACTGCGATTCCCTTAGTTGGGCACCTCCTCTCAAACTTACAGTTGTAGCAATGGCTCGGGACAGAGCAGCACGTGCAGCTTTTCTGCTCAAGAAGCAAGAGTTGTGTATCGGTACACGTTGTTTGGTTTGGCAGATGGGTGCGATCTGTCCGTGCCTTGCTCGTGAGAAGGCCAGGTCTCAAGACGGCTTCACCCATGTGCATTAGCTACTTGATGCCACAGACCATGTTAGAGTCTGAGTTGAGCTCTGGCAAAAAATGCAGGTGCCCGGTTCAATGCCACCAGTGGAGCAGCCTAAGGCCTGACATGAAGTTGTAAAACTGCAGTACTGTATCTACATGCATTTATATAAATAAACATACATACATATATATATATATATATATGTATGTATGTATATTATTAGGTGGACAAACCGCTTCATGGTTGGCCAAACCTGTTAGGTGGACAAACCGTTTCATGGTTGGCCAAACATGTTAGGGGGACAAACCGTTTCATGGTTGGCCAAACATGTTAGGCAGATGGTTTTGGCTCATTTTTGATGTTTGACTGCGCAAGAAGATCTCGAGTTGAACTATCAACCCATTGTAGCGGAGCTACCGAAAACATCCGACTGGTTCAGCAGTGCAAGTGGTTCCACCGGCATGAGGGTCATGATGGTCCATGATTCCCAAGTTTCTTTGATACAGCCAGTCCCGCGTTGTGCCGCAGGTCTCTCACTGGCTGCAGATGGGCACTATGGATCTCCTGTGCCAGGCTGCAGGGCTAAGCGGACCCCAATGGATCCCAATGGTAGGTGCACCGAGTGCTGGATCATTAGTCCAAGATGTCCAAATCTTCATACTTGTAGATTCATGGGTATAGACATGCATGCAAAGATCTTGGCACGTGCCGGCATAGAAGCAGGAACGTTTCTGTTGCCCATGGTCATGCTTACAGGCCTCTCGACATTGCCTGACACTCCAAGAAGATCCGAAACATCCTTTCGGCTCTTCAGTCTTTTCTTTCCTTTCTGTGCTACATTGCGAAAATGGTGGCCCTTGAGCTTGCAGCATCTTGGCGAAGAAGGATAGCCCTCGCACCTTTCTCGCGAAGAATGAGCCTGGCAGCTGCATGTCTGACTTTTGAACAACTCCTGCGCATTCCTGCGCACTATTTTGCGGATTGTCGCTCGTTTTGACCTCTCAGGCAAGTGGTTCCATCTTGTCAACAGTGGCTTCCGTCCTGCACTTCGCGAGCTGTATCCAGGTAGACTCATCATGACTCATCTTCAGTGTCTTGTCAGCCATGGCTACTGCCAGGACTACCTTTTGTTGGAGCAACAGAGACGTCACCAGGAGGCAGTCGATTTCCTGTTCGGTGGCTCTTACAAGAAGGACTGGTCAAGCAGTGCAGGTTGCCAGGGCTGGTCCTGCGGGTTGCATTGTTCCCTTAGGTGCCAGTAACATGATGCGCAGTATACAACAACTGCTGGGGATTCATGTTAGTTGACGAAGGCGAAATTATATGTACATGTAGGTACTATACATGCATATGTGACAGCTCGTCCCCGTGCAAAAGCGAAAGTGTGGAAATTGTGCATGACAATCATCAGTGCCATTGACATGCTGGCGTGTCGGATCACACCTTCTGCACCCTCGAGGCATCTCGAGACCTCTGTATAAAGGTTTCTGGGAGTTGTTGGGAGCTTTGTCTCGCCAGGAGCCGTTGGAACTCAGGGAAAAGTTAGGCCAGGGGCTTTTCGGTGAAGTGTTCTTCACTCGCAGCGCCTTGGCAGCTCATGTTTTCACCATGTTTTCGCAGTGCCTTGATCAGCTGAAGAGGTGTGTGGCAAAAAAAACATCATGGACCATGCGGTGATTTTTGTTTTTTCATCACGGACACTGGCCAAGGATATGGCCGGGTGGTGGTGGCAAAGGCTCCTCACTACTGGGGGCCAGCGCCTCCTGAGCCGATCCTGTGCGCTGAATTTCAGCGCGCGTGCCGCCTTCGTTCAGGGCTTATCTGCTTCGAATTTGTTTTACTTTTTTCTTTTGGTTGTCCAAAATTCCGAGAGGTCTTCTTGTCTTTTGTGATTTTTCGGGATGTTTTGTTGTTTCTTCAATCTACCTTTGTTGCAGTTGGCCTTTTAGTTGATCTGGTCACAGGACATGAGAACCTCGTGAAGCCCTTCGAAAAGCTTGGTTCCGCTTCGTTGTGGCACTTCGTGGAGGGCACCTGCTGGCGAAGTGCCATGCCAAACCTGGTTATCGGCCAACGTGCACAGGCGCCTCATGGCGCATTTTGTATTTTTGTTCCTCAGGCTTTGAAGATGGTTGAGATATGTTGAGATGGTCCTGGTGCATCATGTCCCACGTTTTTGTGCAGGTAGCTCCACAGGTGGCATCGGTGATGATCTACCTCAGGGAGGCGAGCCATGTGGTCTGGGACCTGCACTCCGAGGACACCATTTTGGATATCCGCGGCAGCCGGGTTCATTTGACCTTGCTGGACGTTTTCATGCCCCCGGGTGAGTGCCTTTGTTGCAAAGCGTGTCAAATCAGATGTTCTGATTTCTTGAACTGGATCGCATGTTGGGTTTGAAGGATTGAAGGAACCGGGCTTAGATAAAGACCCAGGGGCTTAAATTCAAAGGGGCACCATGAATTATGAAAGTTGACAGTGGCTTTCACGCAAGATGCCCTTGCTGCGCGTTTCTCAAGTAGACCAACTTTTTGGAAAGCCTTGCCACTTACCATGCGTTGAGCGAAACGCAGCACTGAAACCAACACTTACAGGATCAACATGTGTTTATAGCTATTTGGCCTTGCATGACGTGGAACCCCAAAACCAACAATAGACCTGAAAACAACTCTCTCTCAGACGATGTGTTACAGAAATGCGGCACATGCTTAGAGGGGAGGCCGGGTGCCAGGCACCAATTACCGCAGCATTCCGCACCGAGATGCATTTATAGATTGAATGGCTGCACTAAAAGTTGAGGTGCCTGCCTTAAACTTGGCACAAGCTGTTGTGCACATGTGCACATTAAGGAACGGCGGGTGTCCATACACCATGCCTCCAGAGCTCCGAAACGGAGGCTCTGAACGCCAGCAGCTTGGCTTTGGAATGTGCAGGGGCTGATGTTCGCTGCCCGGTGAAACTTCGGAAATGTGGAATTGTCCCCCGCATTTCCTATCACTTAGTCAGCGCGCGTGGTGAGGCAGAACGTTAAACTGCTCGGTGATCGCCTGGCCGCAAGAGTCAACGGATTTGTTACGAGACTGTCGCTAGCAACCTGGATGCAAGTGCTTCGTTTCATTTCATTTCAGCCCATGCCAATCGGTTTGCAGCTGGGACGGTGTGCCCTGCAGAGGCCAACTTGCTCGTGCCGCGGGAGCCACTGGAAAGAATTGAGGCACTTGAATGGCTGCAAAGTCTTCCCCAACTTTGGATGTGGCTCGGCGGCGCTTGGTGGCCGAATGATTTTTCAAAATAGTAGCCGGGAGAGAGTGACCCTGAACACAAGTTCCGCGAAGGCCATGAGGCCAATGTTTCTTGCAATCGCATGGGTCAAAGTTTGAATGCTTACGGTGCCCGACTGAAAATGCATTTGCTGCCACTCATGCTGCATGCGTTGTCATTGCTTCATTATGTTTCCTGCCTTTCGGTTGTGAGGCTCATCCAGGGGCAATTCGACACATTCAGGGCCAACAGATGAAGTGATCCGGCAATGGCAATTCGACACATTCAGGGCGACGGTGGCGGGTGCAACAGATGAAGTGATCCGGCAATTGCAAATGCCTCCACCTGGAGCGTCTCCAACCCCTCCCGGGCCACCTCCCCCGCCAATGTAGGAAGCTTCAGATTGAATAAATGTCCAGATTGCTGTGTGGCTTGCGGTTCGGTGACGTAAACGTGCAATTATTGGTTGCTGTCCTGCCCTAGGCATGAATGACTGACCAGTAAGGTTCTGACGTTTCTGTTTGTTTTTGATCATTGTCTCATCACATCATATGTGTCGATTCAAATGTGCATATCACAGTACTGCATTTCACTATTATGATCTATTATTATGGTTTTTTGTGTTTGTCATTTGTGTTTACACATGTTTACACTTATCCATGTGCATGTAGGTGGGTTTCACATGGCGCTACATGGTGGGATGCCAACACCATCCAACACCACCTCTCTTGCGAGGAAATAGCGATGATCGTTTTCGCCTTGGCATCTCTTGGCGGAAGAAGGATGATGGAGTGGTCTCCCATCGATAGAAGCGTTTCGAAAAGTCGGAGATCTGTTGCGGCAAAGCCCCAGGGTCTAGGAAAATGGCGGATTTCAATGAAGAGGTAATGTTTGTTTGCATGTATGTACGCACATTTATACAATACATACATCGGTCGTGCATATCTATAGTTGAACACATGTGCACAATATGTATAATAATAACATTATGTATGTATGCATATATGTGTGAGAAGTGTTCTGCTGCTTGGTATACATGTTTTGGATTATTTTTGGATTCTTTTTGATACATGGCTGAAATGCGCAGTAGGAGTAGGATGCGGCATTTGCGTAGTATGTATTGGTCATCAACCCCGATTTCTAGGCAACTGCTTGGTACATTATAGTTTGGGTTTGTCATGACCCATACCACGGGTAACCACACACACCATGCATCGAAAGCCTTAGCTCTTGGAACTCGTGCAGAGCGGGAGCGCGAACAGCCGTGTCGAAGCGCCTCTGCCGTCTTCAGATTTGCTGGTCTTTGATCCGGCGAGCTGGTTCCGAATCACCAAAAAGCCATTCTCATGGTAAATGGTGTTTCCAATTGATTTTGGTGTTCTGACATTAGGTTATATCTAAGAAATTTGTCGAAAATAAATTGTTTCATTGCTTTGTCAAGCATGGTATGATTTCAGATGGTAACATTGTAATCCAGCGAAGCACGTACACATGCCTCTGTATGCGTCCACACCTATAGGTCACCATGTATGTGTACCTGCCAGGACTTATGTCCTATATGCGTCCCCAATGTGGCACATCCCCCCCCTTTATATAACCCTCCCTGGAATAGTGGGGGGGGGGTAAGGCAAGAAATTTCTGAGAAATATTTCACCTGGCCACATGAAATATACCCCCCCCACATGTTTTTTGGGCTTCCAAAAGATGTGGGGGGGGTCCTCCGGATGCAACATTTTAGCCCAGAGATGGTATGGCACACCCTTTCATTTTGAACATACATACATACATACATACATTCATACATTCATACTTTCACACATTCATATATATATATACACATACATGTACTTAAATACACATATGTATATGTATATATATATATATATATAATATATTGGCACAAACATACTTACAGAAAAATGCAACGGTGAAATTTTTGAGGGGGGTAGTTGCAAAACCAATGTATTTTACAGTTCTAGCAGGGTCCCCCCCAAAAAAAATCCATTGCCAATGCTGGAGGAGCCCCTTCTTGTTTCCTACCCCTGCGGTAAATAAATACAACGGCGAAATTTTTGAGGGGGGGTACGTAGTTGCAAAACCATTGTATTTTACAGTTCTAGCAGGGGCCCCCCCGAAAAAGCATGGTGAAATTCCCAAGTTTTATTATTATTTTTTTTATGGCTAGCCTAATTATATAGGTCATGTAATTAATGAATATATATGTTATGTCATATTTGTAGCTTGCTCCCAAAGTTTCACGCGGCAAAAATGCCTTCCACCAAGCCGCGGACCTTGACAGATGACTTGCGACGAACTGCGCGTGGATCCGCAACAGGGCTTTGGAGCGGGCGAACTCACCAGGCTCTATGATTGTGTGGCCACCCAGGGCGTGGGGTTGTGGGACATTTTGTAATCGGCCCCCAATTTTAAACACTCCTTAGACACCGATGGCTTTTGGTTTAGTGATGTTTAGTGGGAGATTTACGCAAAAACATGAGACCACTTATATCCATTTATGGGGTGTTCAATGTTCGGGGGATGGGATTAATGTGCATATGTGCATATTGATGGCAGCATGGTATTTGACATGCTGTCTCCTGGATCTGCTTGAGACTCTTGAAACAAAGTGTTGGACCTATTCATGCGTGCGTGTGTGCATATATAAATGTGTACATTATAATTATATGTACATACGTCCGTTTTTGTTTTCCGTGCATCCGTAGTTGCACATATACAGTCATACATGAATACGTATGCAATATATTTATGATAAACAGTAATTGGAATGATGGTTTGTATATGGGGAATCATCCCCAAAATGCCCGAACTTTTGAGCCATTTTCAGGTTCGTGAATGATTACAGGCCAACCTCACCATTTGATGGGTTCCCAATTGGTGAAAATACCATCTTCAACCAACGAAGTGGGGATATAACATGATATGAGCCACCGCAAAAATCCCGGCAATAATAAACATGTAATGTAAGGGACAGACATTGGTTTGTTTTTTTTTGTTTTTTTTTGAAATTGCTTAAATATGGGATATAACAGGATAAAACGCATCTAGAACATCCATGCCGGCGACCTACCCCACCATAATAGATGGTCAAGATTCGCGCTCACGCTAGTGGTTGTTGGTGGCTAGTGAAACCTATTTATAAACATCACCTTACAAGTTGGTTTTTAAACCTCATTATATAACTATAGTTATAACTGCCATAAACCATAAGTATGGACGATTCCGATCCAAGTTAGCTCTTTTTTGGGCCCCACTTTGGGCCGACACTTTGATGGCAGAGGTTTCGGCACTTTGGAGCGTGACTTCCAGGCGTACGGATTCCTGAGGAAATTTTCCAACGAACATATTCGGGATTGAATCATTACCCTCTGGTAAACTAATATAACTATGGAAAACCACCATTTTCAATTGGAAAATCCACTATAAATGGTCATTTTCAATCGCTATGTTAAATTACCAGAGGATAATATTCATTAATCATTTAACCAAAGAATGTTAGTTTACCAAGTAATCATATCCATGATCATTTGCTGGAGGTATATCGGTACATCCAGCTGATTTGTTGCCAAGCTGATGTTAAATTTAAGCAATTTGGGCAACTTTTCCTACAACAAATAACGCGCCATTTAATGGAATGATGGAATGCATGATTTCTATGCAATGAGAAAGTGATGAAATATTACCCCAAACAACTGTATGTAAGTGAAGATGGGATTGGCCTGATGCGTTGGGGAGAGAGAGAGAGAGAGAAGAGAGAGAGAGAGAGAGATGTATGTATGTATGTATGTATGTATGTATGTATGTATGTATGTATGTATGTATGTAATTATGTACGTATGTAATGTATGTAATGTATGTAATGTATGTAATGTATGTAATGTATGTAATGTATGTAATGTATGTAATGTATGTAATGTATGTAATGTATGTAATGTATGTATTGTATTGTATTGTATTGTATTGTATTGTATTGTATTGTATTGTATTGTATTGTATTGTATTGTATGTATGTATGTATGTATGTAGATAAAATGATCGACCGATACATATTACATGTATACAATGTTGTAAATACCAATATTTAGACATGTTTTATACTCTATGGAGGTTTCCAATTATTATAGGTAACTCCCAGTTTACCATCCATTTTTTCAATAGGAATTTCCATGAAATAGACTTAAATATACCATCCATCATTAATAGCACCTCACCGCCAGGCCGCTCTGCACAAGTTGAGCCATGAGCCGCCACCTGCGGCCGCGGCTGCGGCCGCTGCGCCACCTCCGACCTCGGAAGGTGGGCGATGGAGGGATGAGTTTTTGATGGGGCCCAGTGATTGATCTATGTTCATCTGGTTGGTGGTGACTGGAACCATGGAATTTTATGACTTTCCATATGTTGGGAATGGAATGTCATCATCCCAACTGACGAAGTCCATCATTTTTCAGAGGGGTAGGTATACCACCAACCAGTCATCCAATTGTAATACACCCTCTGGTGATTCAACATTGCGATGGAAAAAGTGGATTTATAGCTGATGTGCCGATGTGCCCATAAAAAAAATGATTTTCCATAGCTACGTTACTTTACCAGAGGGTATTTGTTATCTATGTTTATAGATGTTCGAATGTATTTTCTACGATTTTTCCAGGTAACATTGGTCGTTTGACCCTCACCCCAGGTAACATAGACCCTAAGAGAGGGCCATTTGATGAGGAACAAATTGTCTTCCAACCTCCATTTGGCGGGGTCTATGTCAGTTGGATCAAGGCTATGTGTTTCTTGATATCAAATCATCCATTTCGGGTTGGTGAGTATTGTCGGCCCATTTGAAGGTTCCACGAAGTTATGTGGTGATGATTGTTGTTTTGTAGTCCTGTTTCAGCTGATTGGCCAGAAGAGGTTAGTTGCTACGCTAATTTCAGGGAAGATCGAGTTGTAGGTCCTGCTTCAGGTGCTACTCAGCAAACACTTTCAGCAGCAAGTTGATAGTTGGAACATGACTCTTGCCGACTCCTGCAGCATTGACATACTTGGAACTTGGAACCAAGCTTGCCCTGATTTCGACTTGCCATCCACTTTTGGGCCGTGCTGGCGGGGACCTGGAGAATTTTGGGTAAACCAGGGATTGAAAAACCTTGAAACACCTTTGTCCATGTTGTTTTCTTCGTTTCCATGATCCCTGTTGGCATGTGACATCAAGCCACAGTACCATGTCATCACAGCCTGCATCGATACAATTCAGCACTTCGCTACCTTGAAAGCAATTGCAAGAAAACACAGGAACAAAAAAACATGTTTATATAAGACAATTGGATCCGATCTGATCCGATGATAGCTTGTTGAACTCCCTGAGATGGAGGGAGAGAGAGAGAGATAACTTGATAGGTTTGCCCTGGCATATGCATCAGCCACAACTTGCAGTTGTGGTTTGTTTGGCGGTTTGAAACAGCTCGGAAGATGAGCCCTGACTTACTCACATAACCTGTGACCTGACCCGCCCATGTTATGTAACTAATGATTTGGGTCAAAATTGAATGGCAGCCCCCAGACACTAGAAGAACATGACTGAAATTTGCACGTTCAGTGGACTGTAAACGCGTTTTTCTTTGTGGTTAAACGTCCAAGGTTATTTGATGTTTAGCCCCCATAGATCTCAATTGTGTGTTGCTTTATATTTCATCTAGGTATGGACATATCCTTCGCAAACCCCAGCTAACCTTAGTTAACAGCCAAATTAAAGCAACTTGGCTAGCAAATCAACCGGCTCTCTCTCTCTCTCTCTCTATTTATCGATTCTAATTCTCTCCAGTGGTTAGGAGGGAGCTAGGAAGCTATGGCTACCCATATTCCTTATTAAATGGGGAGGAAAGGGGCTACTAAGAGTTTCGAACCTCCTGTTTAAAGGATAGATCCCAAGATTCCCCTCGTGTTTTTATAGTTGAATCCCAATTGAATCACTATTTTTTGTGTTTAAGCCAGCTCTAAATCCACACTCTTGATTGTCAAATGCATATGTTTGATGGTGAAGCCTATTTTCGATGGTGAAATCCTTAGTTTTTTGATGGTGAACTCTGCATTTTCGCCACGCTTCGTGGGAGGCGTTTCCAGTCGCATCTCTCCCTGGGTGGCGCTGCCGCTGCTGCCCATCTGCCCCGTGGCCGCAGGCGCCGTCGCGCTGGCGGCTACGCTGCGGAACCGCGCGTGGCTTGGGACGGTGGCAGCGGGGATCCTATTGGACGTAACCATTTTTTATGGGACTCAATACCACCATGATTATTCCATGATTATGATTAATAGACCCTTAATCCATCTTAATCCCATTGGACTTAAGCATTATGGGACTTAACCATATAATTAATAGGCTGACATTATTGGGTGATAATAACCCCAGTTAGAAATTGAGTTGTAACCCCATAAGTGGACTAAGCCCGCTTAGCCACTTGTAATCAGGGATATAACCGACTCAACAAGTGGGATGAGCCACCAAGTATAATTAATCCTATTGGACTTAAACGTTATCCATGGGACTTAACCATATAATCAATAGTAGGTTGACATGATTGGGTTAATGGGTTATTATTTTATTGCTTAATATCAACCCTGGATGATGGAATATAGGACAATATGGGACAATGGGAATAAACCTCACCAATACAATGTATATTGTCTTAGCTAATAGTAATTGGACAATGATATTAGTAAACAATAATATGGGATCATGATATTAATTGGATAGTCATGATTAAAAATGATTAATAATGGCAATATACAGATAAGTATAAACAAATAGTAATAACATGGGATTATGTTATAATGGGACCCAACCAATAAGAATGGGACCATAATGGTATTATATTGGGGTATTCAGAGGGAAAATCATTCATATACAACCTGGAATGGGGGTAATGTGTGATTTACACAATGCCATGAAGCTACCTTTTGAGTTTTTTTTTCCTAGATTTTGCCACCCATTGATGGTACTGTGAAATGACTGATTCCAGATGGTTAGGATCAGGGGAACCATCTCCAGCAGTGTCAGGTCGTTGTGAAATTTTGGGAAATTTACCCAGATCCCATCTGGAATGGATGGAGAGTGATGTAATGGGCATATATCTGGTTGGTGGTTTGGAGCATTTGGATTATTTGGATTATTTTTCCCATCATATTGGGAATGGAATAACACTCGCATTTGACTAATTAATATGTTTCAGAGGGATTTTTCAACCACCTGCCATAGCTATTGGCTCCCCACAAAGCGACAGATGCAGAGCCACGCACCTGGTTGGCCGAGGTGTCAATGATGGAAACCTGCAGCGCCGTGAGACGCGGGGTGCTGTTTTGAAACTGTGAAACTGTGAGCTAGCTGATTATGGTATCCAATATTTAACTAGCTGATCTATTTGCTATATCTCTATTTGTTTTTTTGGAGTATACCATGATCTATAGCTGACCCCAGGGATAAACAAATGAGCCTTTTGATTATCTCTTAAAAAAATCTATGGGTGGTACCACCCCCAAAAAGGGAGTCCAAATCTTTGGTGATTTGGCCAGCAACCCATGAGATTTCACGTTTTCGAAATATATAATCAGAATGTCGGAAGCCTAATAAATGCATTTGGGGATGGTTTGTAGCATCCATTGATGGTGATTTTAAGGATGGTTCATTCTTGGGTTGACCACATTACACATTTTTTTCATTTTGCTTCTCCTATTTCCATGAAACCAACCGGTGCCAGCTTGCCAAACCCCTGCGCCTCACCCTGCGAAATTCCCCACGCGACACGTTCGCGGCCCTTGGCGGCTCCCGGCTGAAACAGCACTGGAGAAGGTTTGGATGCATAGTTCGGACATGTTTAGAACAGTTTTATTATTTTCCTACAGTTATGGTCATTTACCAGTTATAAGTACTTGTAACCCCATTTATAGAATGTATAATCCCATTTATAACCAGTTATAACTAATAAATGGCCATAACTGTATGCGATACTTGCGTATATTTGCTACAACCATGGCTATCTAAAACACACACATATATATATATATACACAATACATATAATTATAATATACATATTTCTAGAAGATTCAACTGTTTGCTACAACATCGACTTGTTTCTTTGAATGTTGAAAACAGACAACAGAGTTTGTGCATAGCATGTAACATTGGATATGATGTGGTGCACTTGTGTCAACGCTGGATTCTGTCGCAAGAAAGAATCCATATAATTTATGCAGCACCCTTTGGGAGCCACCCATCAAACAAACACAAACAGGTTTCAGCATTGCTGTTTGCATAGTCTCGGTAATCATCCCATCAACCGTTTGTTGTATGCGTGGATCACAGATTTTTGCTCCTGGTTTTTTCAAGCAGATCTACCACTGGAAGGTCAGAACCGGCCATCATTATTGGATAGACACATGGCATGAAATGAAGCTACCCTCTGGTAATTTAACATAGCTATTGAAAATGGCCATTTATAGTGAGTTTTCCCATTAAAAATGGTGATTTTCCATAGTTACGTTAGTTTACCACAGGGTAACCAGCAAGATCTCAACTTGTCGGAGAAAATGACTCGAGCTCAGGGCCCTAGATCGCTGTTTCTGGTGCAGTGGGAGTCATGCCAGGTTTTTCGTCGGGAAATATTTGACCAGATGCGGCAGTCGTACGATGTGATAAAAATCGTGATTTATCAACATCTCCAGATCATGGCCCATCATGGCGACCTATTTTTGGCGGCAGTGATGTATTGAATTCATTTCCGCTGTCACTGTGGTCACTGTGATTTCTGTCGCGACTATTTGATACTATTTGAATATTCCTTTTTATGCTTTGGTGGACAGATGTGGATGGTTTTTCTGTTGTCAAAAATCCTTTGGATCCCCTCGATCCTACAGTAACCAGTAGCGTACAGAATTGACGTCCAAAACACTGAGCAACTTGAGTTATCTTCAGGACATTCAATCTCACACCCTGGCACCTATAGTAGACCCACCAATTTGGTGGGTGTAAAACACGTGGTATTTGGCAAACCAAGGCCTGGCCAAAACCATGCGGTGCCCTTTTTTGTGCCCAATTTTACACCATTTTGGGTGGGTGTTACAGTATATAAAAACCTTAAGAATTAAACCCTGAATTAATAGACCCAGTGATGATTTGCTACTAAAATGGTACATCCTAATTATATAAACCCGTTTTTTTTAAATCCGGGGTTGACATTATCCACAGAGGTTTAAGTTTGGCTTACCCAGCTTGCCCAAGAATTGCCACATCTGCCGCGCATCGCATGAGACTTTCAAACATAACGCAAGGCGTACCCGGCCGAACAGCAGAACTGCAAAGATGTTAAGGGCTCCCCTGGAGATGTCTGTTTGCAACGGATTATTTCAAGTTGAAAATCTGCAGGAAACTTTGGTTTTCCATGGTTTTCCCCAGAAAAAAAAAAAAACAGTTCCCACTAGAGACTGCTGGAAGTACATATTTTGATTCCGAGTGCAGATCCTGGACTCTTTTTTGAAGTCACTGTTTTGAAAGAATGAATCCGAACAGCAGGAAAACTGCGAAGAATATTGAACTGTTACGCAGCTATGTGATCGGACCATATCGGACCCACTTCAAATTTGTGGGATGTCATTGCATTGGTGGACCTCAGGAATCAAGCCCCTTCAGTATTAACACCTTTGCAGAGTTCTGGAGTGGTGTGCTAACAATTCTTTTCGACATTCTGAGAAGAAAAAAGCTGCCCAGCTGCGCCTTTTGCTGGCACCCGGGTATTTTTCACTGCAGATTGCAGATCTCTCTTGGCTGATCAGGAAGTTTGTTCATGGACCTGGATCATGCATTTTGCCTTTTGCATTGGCTCGTTGGAACTCAAAACATGTTCAACTTCCATCAGTTACCCCATAAAATGTTCAGCCAGAATTTACCCTTTCTTGGCTACCCAGGGTGCTGATGGAAGATCTCCCAAATGTGATTTGGGCAGTGTTCGATGTTTTTCCTTTTTCCCATGCTTGGTTGACCAGAAACTCAGCAAGAAATCATAGACAAAATATGAAAAAATGAACAGCTTGGCAAACAGATGTGAAAACTATCAGAACCAGGCAGTTTCCTCCCAAACTGTCCCAACAAAACGTCAATTGACATCTGAAACAAACCATGCCAGGCTGCTGAGACTGCTGAAAGCCACGAAAAGGTGAAGCAAAAAGGGCCACAGCGCAGTCTAGGGCTGGAAGTTGGTAGAAGCCGCTGGGGAAGCCCAAGAAGAAATACGTTTCGATGCCTGCCATGGCTGATATGAATTAAGAAACAAAGGGCATCACCATTCTTATTATATAGATATACTATAATATAAAATAATGTAATACAATATATATATATATATACACACATAATATATATATATGTATTATATTAATATATATATAATATACATATATATATATGTATTTAACTTGATTATAAACACATTTGTTTGCTATTGTTAGTCTCATTATTATGGCGCTTACCAATGTTTACCATGTGGTCATGGGGCGAAGGAAGGTAACCAAAATTCTTGCAGGATGATAGATAGCATGTAAATGTGTACTTTTTTTCATCAGATAAGAGATATGTAAATGATACATCCGACATGTACAGTCTGTATACGGTTCATTCAGCATTCAACTCTAATTACGTAGTATTGTGAAGGATGACAAGTATCATCTATGCTATGGAATTATATGACTATGGATGGCTATGGATGGCTATGGATCTATACCTATTAAATCCTATTAAGCATTAGGGGGATGAACATCCATAAATCCCAGCTATTTTGATGTGAACTACAGGGATCCAAGGTTGGCACCCGCTGAGGTCGCCAGCGAGGTTTGGACATGTCGGTGCAGAGCTTAATGAGGGTTTAACGCGGCAAAACGACCCACCAGAAATGGTGAAAACACGTGAAAAACCTATCAGAAAACACAACTTGGGTACACATGGTTTGTAAGAACCTTTATATGGATGCAAATTACACTTACCGTACCGTTGTTGTTGGTGGATTGCCCTTGGAAAGGGGCAGTGGAACAACTCAGCATGATATGTGTTGGCAGCAACTTGGCCATATAATCGAAACCGAAACCATGTTTTTCCTGCGTCGGGTCTGAATTCTGAAATTCTGAAACTCACCTTTTCGCAACCCTGATGCTGCCCTCAAGCTTCGCCATCCTTGTGTAGTGGCCCACAAACAACCTCCCCACTTGCCAGCCTGTGTGAAATCTGCCATTATCAGGACGGTTTGTTCCAGAGTGGATGTGGGAGTGGCTGACTTTTTTTTCTTCTTCAAACTGGCAAATGTAAGTCATTCCACTGGTTGGTGGTTTCAAACAATATTGTTTATTTTCCAAAATATATGGGATAATCCTTGCCATTGACTAATTTATTTTTCAGAGGGGTTGAAACCACCAACCAGATATTTGTCGCAGTCGAAAACCGAGGACCCAACGGATCTGGCTCTGTTTGAAGCCTTGCGGCGAGTGGACACCCTGACCACTGCCAGGTGGGAAACCTTGGGGCTGGAATGGTACTGGTTGCGGCGTGCAGCGCGCCCGGTTTGTGTGGCAAGTTGATGCAAGTTTCTGGATTCTTCATGATTTTTCATGAAACTGTAGGGTTCTGTAAATGTTCGTTTTTCTCCAACAACGCAGCCACCTCCAAGTTAAGAAACTCCACGAAGACAGCGTAGGCGAAAGCCGGTGAATTTGAATGCAAGCATCACTCTATCAGATGAACTCATGTAATGGCGGCACAACATGAATGTGTCGTCCTGATTAGTGTGAGCCCCCCCCTCAACAATAGCTATACCCTCTTTAGACTTCTGCGCAAAAAAGGCGGTTCCCCAGGAAAAAAAACCTACCCTTAAGTAAGGATTTCAATTGGCTACAATTGAACTCCAATAAACACGATGAACTTGTGATATTTGTAGTGCTTGTAGTACTTGTTGTACTTGTAGTGAGTGGGGTTCAGCATGTTGATTGCGTTACCTTTTCCACCTTAAGCTGTTTCTTAATGAAACATGCAATAAGAGAAAGAGAAAGATAAAAAGAAAGAAAAGAGAAAGGGAACGAAAGAAAGAGAAAGAGAGAGAGAGGAAACGGAAGAGGAAGAGCAAGAGCAAGAGAAAGAGAAAGGATAAGAGAAAGAGAACGGACAAGAGAAAGAGAAAGAAAAAGAGAAAGAGAAAGAAAAGGTTGCTTTTGTACAAGGCTTTTCTTTCTTCTCTTGGCTCCAGGATCAGCTCTGGAAAAGTTTGCTGCAATTGTGGCCCCTG